TTGAGGGCTTGAGCATCGATAGCGCCTCTGTGACAGGGCTGTCGAAATAATTTTGAGAATGGTATCAATGTTTTTGTTTTTGTTTTGGAAAATGTAACAAAACACAACACAATGCACCAAATTTTGAAGTGTAAATTAAAAACCTGTTATAACGTTAATAAGAAACACATATATAACTGGATTACCTTATATTTGATCAAAAATGAAATTCGTTGTCCAGTAAGTTACTGCTGTACCATTTGTTTTGTCCCAGTTCGTTACACAGCTGTTGTGGCGGCTTCCAATTACTGTAGTACATTTAATATCATGGAGCAATAACTTTGGTATCATCAATGTATTTATGTTTTAAAGGAGTTAAAGAAGAGTGATTTTTAAATCTTAATATTGTTTAAGATTGAAAAACTAAAACGTACCAATGACCAAAACTTTGGTGTGGTACCAAAAGAACGGTTTTGCTCAGTAAGGGTCAAATAGTACCAAATGTGTATAAAATTACCAAAGAAAAGGATAAATGGCGTAACAAAAACCTGCAAAAAAAAGGAAAAAAACCAACCGAGATGCTGAAAACCACGACATTGGGCTACAACATAGTATCAGTGACACGACTGCTGGGACATCAGTCTGTAAATTCCACAAGGGACTGCGACGAACATTCTGTGTGATTTTCGTTGGCACAGGAGCGGAGCAACTATGGGGTGACTCATTTGCTATGAAGCTGAAACTAAAATTACCAAGATTACCAAGTGACCAAAAAAAAAAAAAAAAAGAGAAGAAAAAGTACCGACTTGAGCAGCCCTGTTTGGTGGGCGTTTATCCTTCTCCGCGAAGCCTGTAGAACCGCGAAGTGTAAAAAAATACTAAGATGCTTTATTTAGATACCGGCGTAGCCGGGAAACCCTATAGAATCGAGAACAACCATTGCAAGAGGTCGCTTACAACACCATAACTATTCTGTTGACTAAACACCGTGCAGGCATTTTGTTTTGTAAGTGGTTATACTAAAGCCTCTAAGTACAGCAGTTTGCAGAGATCTAAGTAAGTATTTACTGCCATTCATTGTTTACTGTGGACCCTTCTGTGTGCACCATAAATTTGTTTAAGCTGAATAATAATCTGCCCAATCTTCTTTTTCTTCTTCTTCTTCTTCTTCTTCTTCTTCTTCTTCTTCTTCTTCTTCTTCTTCTTCTTCTTCTTCTTCTTCTTCTTCTTCTCTTCTTCTTCTTCTTCTTCTTCTTCTTCTTCTTCTTCTTCTTCTTCTTCTTCTTCTTCTTCTTCTTCTTCTTCTTCTTCTTCACTTTCACTCGCCGTAAACTCCTACGGAAAGCTCTGGTTGTTCGTCCAACTCTGGACTTCAGTCTTGTTTCAGAACTTGAGTTTTGTGTGCACACCCGTTTTACAGAGCTACCTTATTTGTATTCTGACTGTCAGTTCCTCGCCACCCAGGCAGATGCACTCCCACTTCGAAAAAAAAAACACAGCCTTATTAGTTGACTTTTCGACATTCTTGTAGGGTGGGTGTGTGTGGGGGTGGGGTGGGTGGGTCTATTCTCCTCTACCCACAATGGGGAAACCCACCTTGAGACTGTGATATATTCAGGTGTGGTTATTGGACATAATCGAATCAACAAGCAATTAGAAAGTATGCCCGAGTCCTGGAGATGTAGATGTACAAGAGAATAGGTCGTATTTCACCAGAACAAAGACACTCAACTACTGAGATTCTCGGGAGACTGGAAATGTAAAAACAGCTGCTTAAAAAAATAAAAAAAATAAAAACAAAGTAACAAAGTGGTGGGACCAGGGAAGATGGAACTTGGGGGTTTAGGTACCTTGAGGACCTCCCGCTCAATGAACTATTTTGGGGAGGGATCTGAGCCCAACCCACCCCCTAAATTTGTTAGGGGTCAAAGCTGCCCAGTCACACCCACCACACCCTCCCCCATTAATTAACATGTTGTTTACAGCACAACAGTTAATAAACACTTGCAAGAATCTGGGCTAAATGTATACCAAAGAAGTAAATAATAAAATAAGTATATATAAATATATAAACAAATAGAAATATATAAATTTGAACAAAGAAGACACCAAACAATAGATTGCACAATTTATTGCCTGGCATATTTTGCTGTATCTCGTCAGGTACATACTACAGTAACAATTACATAAATGAAGCAAATAAGTGATCCTTTATAACTGAAGTACAATTTCAACAATGATGAAGCCTGACTGCCTGTTTTTACCAGGGCAGCTGTAAAAACAATATCATCTTTTTCTGAATACAGATACATTTTAAAAAACAAGGATAAAAGCAATAAGCAACAATGTATTTTACTTGCTGTAACTTATCGTAATCAGACAGGCTGGACAGTGCAATAGAGCAGACAGAGGATCTATACTTTGAACAATAATTTAACAGGGATGAGTAGAGGTTCTGGAAGATTTTCAACACTGAGGGGAAAACAGGTGGACCTTTAATCAGGTTGCAACTGGTACTATTAGCATATCAACTCTTCATTGGCTACTGAAGAAGGGGACAGAGCACATGTGGGAATGTCCTGAGTGCATTGATGTCAATTCTTGATTGATTCATTTATTCACTCATTCAATCAAAATGGAGAATGGCGCTGCGAGGAGTTACCAGGGGATCTGGCAGACGCTAAACACTCAGGGTAAGAACGAGATGGATATACAATCATACAGTTATTGGTGCCACTGGAAATGAAACTCTTTGCTTGCTGCTGAAGATGGGATAGAATGCTTATGGGAGTGTCCCGAGTGCTATGATGTCAATTCTTAATTCAACATATTTGTTAGGTGGCACTCAGATCCATGTCAGAATATTGCAGCCATGGCGATTACACAACTGTGTTGTGAATTTATAATTGAAATGAAATGACATGTACAATTTCAGTCACAATTCAGTTAATAATTTTGTTAAAGTTTTTTTTTGGTATTTCAATTCATTCATTGTACATACTTTATTTATTACAGTGTATAATGTCAACCCAGGAGTCGCCGTGGCCGAGCGGCTAGATGCTCGCCGCGGATCAGAAGGTCGTGGGTTCGCTCCCTGGCGGAGACGGTCTTTTCTTCAAAAATGACCTTGGCTCCCAGGTCGACCCAGCCTTGAGTGGGTACCGGGTGCAATCCCGGGAAGTAGAGGCGGCCGGGGTGATGCTGACCACATCACCCATCTTGTGCCGTTGGTCTATAAAAATATAGGTCTAGCCCTATATGCCCTATACACCTAAAGGCGTGGAAAGGGTCCTTTACTTACTTACTTACTTATAATGTCAACCCAGCGCAATGCTAACCACATTACCCACCTAGTGCCGATTAGTCTGTAAAAATATCGGTGCTCTTCCTAAATGCCCGATGCGCCTGAATGCATGAAAAGAGTTCTTTACTTTTTTACTTAATTTTTATGTCAACCAGTGCACTGTGCATTTAAAAGAAAACAATGTTTTAATAATGTCCAAATTAAGAGTAATCAAAATCTTTTACATAAAAGAAAGGTATTGATGGTGCATCATAGAATGTTCTCTGATTATAATAATAAAATTTACAAGCAACTGAACTAGAAACTTAACTGTATCATAGCATATTGTCGAAAATAGAATGTCATATTTACATTCATTGAAAAGCCAACTGATCTGTGTCAAATGTTAAGGAAAACAAGAAACAGTTTATGAGTGCCTCTCCCAAAAGCCACCTGATCTGTATCAAATGTTAAGTAAAACAAGAAACAGTTTATGAGTGCCTCTCCCAAAAGCCACCTGATCTGTGTCAAATGTTAAGGAAAACAAGAAACAGTTTATGAGTGCCTCTCCCAAAAGCCACCTGATCTGTATCAAATGTTAAGTAAAACAAGAAACAGTTTATGAGTGCCTCTCCCAAAAAGCCACCTGATCTGTGTCAAATGTTAAGCAAAACAAGAAACAGTTTATGAGTGCCTCTCCCAAACAATACTACAGTAGTGGTAGAGCATAAGGGGAGATGAGGCAGATCAAGGAAGACCTGGATACAGAATTAGAATGGTTGGACGGGCCTGATATATGCAGAACCATTCCACTGGGTCTGACTGACACAGGTGACAGGAGGTAATCAGGTTAAATTGCTAACAGCCTTAGGATGAGGTACTTGAGTATTAGGAAATGGTATAGTAAATTGTTGAACAACCACATTCGAATACCTGCCACCATTAAGTAACACATGCTCAACTAAAAATACTTTTTCTTTAGTAATAACATCATTATAGCTAAGATCAATTACTAAAATACCAGTATATAGCAGTGATATTCTAAACTAACGGTTAAATGGTGCGCAAATAATTGATTTAAAAATGTCTAGTCATGAAACAAATACTCTGTATATAGGTGTTCTAACTGCAATAGCTCCACAAAAGTAAAACAGCAGGTCATGCATGTTCTGTGTTTAATTAATTAAATATCTTGTGCCCTTGGGGAAAAATGAACTCTAGGATGCTACTTCTCTGTGGTGATTGTTTGGAAAAGTCTTTGCTAGCTATCGCCCTTGGTTAATTGATCAACTACAGCCATGTTTGTTGGCTTCTGAGGCTTAGGAATTGCGAACATGCTTCGCAATGTCGAGGTGCTGGGTTCTTTCCAGCTGCGGACGGTTTGTCTTGGGTTGGTTTTGACAGTGGTACTGAAAGCTGACCGTTCAGTAGCAATGGCAAACAACTGGATGTGAATTTGCCTAGAAAAACCACAACGGTAACAAATCCTATGGTTGGTTCTGCAACGTCCTATAAAGGATACACAACTATTACAGCCATGTTTGCCCACTAATATGCAAAATATTTATAAAAGCAGACTTTGATGTGTAACTGAGGTGACAGTCACACCTGTAAAATATAAAAATTTTTTAATAAAAAACCAATATGCTTACAATTTTTTTAAATGAAACAGTTTTATATTGTGTATAATTATGCTTTTATTTTTGAACATGTGATGAATATTATTCTAGCTGCAAACATGCCACCAAAAAGGAAAGTGGCTGGAAAGGCAGCAGCTGCTAGCAAGACCAAAAAAGCTAAGAAAGAAGAGGTAGAAGATGAGCCATCAACAAGCTCTTTGAAAGATCAAATTACCAAACTGAAGGAGGCTGACAAAGGAAAAGCAAAGAAGTACAAACCGGACACATTTTGTCATGTGGCAAGTGTTTCACAGGTAAAACAGTTTTTTTTTTTTTAATTTTGCATTTTGGAATTGTTAAACAGATCAGCAAAATGTAATTTCTTAAGCTTTTAGAAAAGCATTGCTAATACAGTAGGGTTGCAGGAGTGTCTGGAAAAGATAAAATCAGTAATGAGGTAAAAAGAGAATAAGTCAGCACAGAACCATTTCTAAATTACATACGAAGACATCAAATTAGATTGTTTGCCCACTTGGAGAGAATGCCTTGTGAAGCCAAATCATACAGGGCATACACCAAAAGAGGGTGAGGACGAAGAGCACGAGGTAGACCTAGAACAGTATAATGATGACATCAAAGAAACCCTGTAACAGCACAATGTGTTGATGGTTGAGGCAGCAAGAAGAGCAAGAAGCAAAACTTTATATCTTCCTCGGCACCTGATATGGTAAAAGAGGAAGTGAAGAAGAAAAGAGAAGAAGAAAGAAAATTGTTAATACAGATGTTGAATGTTGATTATTGAATAAAGAATCAATGTCATAGCACTCGGGACACTCCCATATAAGCTCAGTCCTTATCTTTAGCAGCAAGCAAAGAGCTCCATTTCTGATGGTACCAGTAAACATCTGATTGTATATCAGTCTCATCCTTCCCCTAAGTGTTGAGCGTTGGTTAGATCCCCTGGCAACTCCTGGCAGCGCCATTCTCCCCAGACCATGATGATTTATCTGGGCCTCCTCACTGTTCACTCGCTCCCAAAGGGCCCTCACAACATCTGACTTGTCATACATCAATTCACCACCAAATGGTGCATGGCCAGCCAGTCTATCTGCCTGCTCATCTCAACACACCTGCATTACCTGGAGAAAAAATCTTAAGGATGCTAACTATTCGGGACCTATGAAGTGATGCTTAAATCCTTTATATCAGCACTTAAGTTCTTGAAGGTCAATTTGGTCATCTTTATTTTAAACCTTGTGAGCTCCAGGGCCAACACTGAAACTACTCAGCCATGTCTGAAGTAAACACTGAGAATATGAGAAGGTGTGTTGCCATGAAAGGTCTGTGATGATCTCTATAACATCTGCCACATGCAAATGTGGAGCAGCTGTTGGAAACAGTTGATGAATGTGCCCTACTCATCTACATGTTGGGCTGGGGGATTTGAACCTGACATCCTGTGAAAACGATTATAGTGAGTGTGGACTGGGAGGAAAAACCCCAAAGTGAACAACAGCTAGGAGTGTAGGTTGGTTTGCTGTGGGTTTTGGGTTTCAGTTCTGCATCTGTCCTTTGGTTCATGTTTTCAAAGTAGTGGCTGTAGCCATAAAGTTTCATATTTTTGTGTGTTGCTTTTAGCGGGCGACTTTAAGTAGACAGAGACTGGTTCCTATGGGATAAAACCTGTTGCAATGATGTTGATACTCTCACCTTTAAACTTAAGTATCATCAGTTCTTGACAATTTAATAACGAAGCAGAGTTTATTATAACCAGGACAAACACCCCACCAGTGATGCAAAGGAAAGGTTAAGAAAATATCATAAGTTTACTCTAAATGTACACATTTCATGACAAATCAAGTAAGAGGATGACAAAAAAGAAGAAGGCGACGAGGAAACAAAGGAGGAGAAGAGGTACACAAAGTACTTTTATTATAGGTTTATCATCTCCCATTCTCTTGTGTATTGTCTTATTTGCAGTTTGCTTTTTGTGACAAGTACGTGTTGTACCTTGCTACAATAGTCAGTGTATTTATATTTATTCTTTAGGTTTACGAAGACTATGATGCTATGCTCAACCAGACAAACATTGGCCAGAACAACAACAAATTTTACATAATTCAAGTTTTAGAATCTGGAGGGAAATATTACACATGGAACCGATGGGGAAGAGTGGTAATTACTTGACACTGAATGTGTGTGTGTTTCTGTATGTGTACACGCATTGACACAGTGTGTGTGTGTGTTTCTGTATGTGTACATGCATTGACACATGAGTGTGTGTGTGTGTGTTTCTGTATGTGTACACACATTGACACTGAGTGTGTGTGTGTTTCTGTATGTGTACACGCATTGACACTGAGTGTGTGTGTGTGTTTCTGTATGCATACACACATTGACACTGAGTGTGTGTCTGTGTGTTTCTGTATGTGTACACACATTGACACTGAGTGTGTGTGTTTCTGTATGTGTACACACATTGACACTGAGTGTGTGTCTGTGTGTTTCTGTATGTGTACACACATTGACACTGAGTGTGTGTGTGTGTGTGTGTTTCTGTATGTGTAAACACATTGACACATGGGTATGTGTGTGTGTGTTTCTGTATGTACATTGACACATGAGTATGTGTGTGTGTTTCTGTATGTGTACACACATTGACACTGAGTGTGTGTGTGTGTTTCAGTATGTGTACACACATTGACACTGAGTGTGTGTGTGTGAGTGTTTCTGTACGTGTACACACATTGACACCGTCTGTGTGTTTCTGTATGTGTACAAGCATTGACACTGAGTGTATGTGTGTTTCTGTTTGACACTGAGTGTGTGTGTTTCTTTATGTGTACATGCATTGACACTGAGTGGGTGTGTTTCTGTATGTGTACACGCATTGGACACTGTGTGTATGTGTGTTTCTGTAAGTGTGCACACATTGACACTGTGTGTGTGTGTTTCTGTATGTGCACATGCATTGACACTGAGAGTGTGTGTGTGTTTCTGTTTTCCTTTGCTGCAGAAATTATCTCTATGCTAACATGTTTGTCACAGGTTAGACTAATAAGTAATTGGCATCAATGTTCTAAATCTACTCCTGATCCATAACACTGTAAGCTGCATTTTGTTGAGCTTGCTACTGTTCCAAAATTGTATTTTGCACTGTTCATTGGTCCAGTGGGTGGATCGATAGGCCAGCTGTTTTAGTCCTGGTAAGCTACTTGCTTCTGGAAATGATTGTTGCTTCTGGAAACCATTTTCTATAGCAATTTTACTATATGTGGACTGAAAATATATAGTTCCCTCGCCCAGCTGCTGAGAATATCACATGATGTGACACATGAGCTATGGATTTTATTTGGAATTCTTTTAGACTTTTCAAGATAATTTATTTTGGCTTCTACAGATTTGAAAGATGTCTTTTAATTGTACAAATAAGTTCTTATTATACAGGATTGTTCCTTTCTCTTGACTGCTTGTGTATGAAGATTGCCTCTGAGCAGCTTCTATTCCCTCTAAAGCCCACTTTTTTTTCTGCCACCTGAGGTTCTCTCACTGGTCTTAGCTTTGCTTCTGTTATCTTGGCATACATTTTCCCAACATGATTCAAGAGAGAGATGCTTTGGTGTTGTCTGCATTCTTGCTTGATGTCTTTGTTCTTCCAGAAGGGTATAATTATTGCAAGTTGGCATTTAGTGGGAGCAGTTTATTGTAGTACCCATGCTTCATCAAAGATTCTGTGAAGCCATCTAATGCTGCTTTACCCTGCTGAATGAATTATTTCTATGGCCTGGTGATATCGATCACAGGCATGAGAGCAAGTTAAAGCCGTTGTGATGTGTATAAGGAGTTACTCCACACCTCAACTCGAGCGACAGCTCGCTCTTGGATGGTTTTACGGATACTCACGCAAGACTCCTGCCACATGTCCACATCATGCTCCATGGATAAGGACTGACCTTTGTGACATGAACCGAGTTGGCAGGGGATCTCGGAATTGGTAGCCTCTAAAGATGTAGTGTCCAGTCTGGTTCACATAAACACACCCCAGTAAATGTGTGAAAACATCTATCAAAGCTCATTTGGAACATCGGTAAAGTCTGTTAGATGAACACATGACTAAATGACAACCCTTGGTTAAAATGTCTATTGAGTGGGAAGAATTGCTGTACCAATGAGATTCAGCCCTATAACAAGATATTTGCTTGCAGCCTAAATGGGAAACATCTCTTGCGGGCAGTAACACACAGAATTGTCCTGTCTCTTTACAGCTGTTGCTGTTCCTCAATGTGCCGACACTGTGTTGAGATACATCACCACAACGTGCATATATCAGTTTGCTGGTTTGGCATAAATGTCCGTCTGATACATGTCTAATGGCATAGAAACACTCCCGAATGTCCGTTTAAAAAAAAAAATCCTACTAATCGACAAAACGGTTCACATGCCTGTTATCACTGGCCCGACTCGCCAGAGTGTGGGACCTAAAAGGGGAAGCCATGCCGGATGCATCCTGTGCGGTACCATCTCACTAAGTTTCCAGATGAAGTAAAACGTTTCTGTATGTGTACACACATTGACACATGGGTATGTGTGTGTGTGTTTCTGTATGTACATTGACACATGAGTATGTGTGTGTGTTTCTGTATGTGTACACACATCGACACTGAGTGTGTGTGTGTGACCTTTGTGACATGAACCGAGTTGGCAGGGGATCTCGGAATTGGTAGCCTCTAAAGATGTAGTGTCCAGTCTGGTTCACATAAACACACCCCAGTAAATGTGTGAAAACATCTATCAAAGCTCATTTGGAACATCGGTAAAGTCTGTTAGATGAACACATGACTAAATGACAACCCTCGGTTAAAATGTCTATTGAGTGGGAAGAATTGCTGTACCAATGAGATTCAGCCCTATAACAAGATATTTGCTTGCAGCCTAAATGGGAAACATCTCTTGCGGGCAGTAACACACAGAATTGTCCTGTCTCTTTACAGCTGTTGCTGTTCCTCAATGTGCCGACACTGTGTTGAGATACATCACCACAACGTGCATATATCAGTTTGCTGGTTTGGCATAAATGTCCGTCTGATACATGTCTAATGGCATAGAAACACTCCCGAATGTCCGTTTAAAAAAAAAAAAATCCTACTAATCGACAAAACGGTTCACATGCCTGTTATCACTGGCCCGACTCGCCAGAGTGTGGGACCTAAAAGGGGAAGCCATGCCGGATGCATCCTGTGCGGTACCATCTCACTAAGTTTCCAGATGAAGTAAAACGTTAAAGCTGTCTAATGTGCCAAAGAAGAATATACCTATTTGTGTGGCCATCGAAGTCCCAGAACTATGGGATGCTGCCTGCTAAACTCCAGATGGCACAGACATGATGATTAGAAAGCTCAACCTACAGATGTGAGATTAAGCAGATATGTGTAAGAAGTGAGGATTTTTTAGATTCCCAGGACCAGAGCGTCTTGCGTCGGTTCTGCATTTATGGGAGTCTCCTTGAATGGCGCAGAATGCCCATGATCTGCCCCTGCTTTCCATTGAGGGCGGACCTGTCCACACGCAGATGTCCTGGGTGAGGTCTCCAGGGGCAACACCTGTGGATAAGGGGACAAAGAGAACACCACACAAATAAAGCCACAACATGTCCTTGTCCAATGAAACCATCCGAGAAGTTAACCTGGTCAACAAATGCTTGATGAAGTTGGATGTGTCAGCAAATATCTCAGCTCTGCTGTAAACAGGCTCAACGCATTTACATCACTCAGACGAACAAAAAGAAGAAGAAGAAAAATAATTATTTCTGATGGTAACCTCTCATCTCCCGGTGCTTTAGATGAATATTTAAGGATTATCTACTTCTTCAGTTGGTACATCTGATGCTAGCACTGTTGCTTTATAGTCTTCAGTTGTTCCTTCCTAGTGGTGTCCTGGGAGGTTAAAGAGCTCATCCATCTTCCTGCTACTTCTGGTGGATCAGTTAATGGCTTTCATGTCTTATAATTAATTATTTTCTGGTGAACTAGTTGTACATAACTGAATTATATTCCCTGCATGGGTTCCAGGACCCCATTGTGGGTCCAGAGATGGACAAACACCCAGAGCTTTCTGCCAGAGTTTACAGACTAAAGTGCTAGATTCACGACTGCTACATGTCTCATAATGTTGTTGTGAGTACACAACTGTTACATGATTGAGCATATTGTATACTTCAGAGTGTACTGCCATTCATAGCTATAATCTGTACTATTATGTGAACTGCTGTTCAGAACTATTTCCTAAATTGTTTTAAGTGTATTATTGTACACGTTATATTCTGTATTGTTCCAAGTTATTACTGGTATACCACTGTATTCTACAATATTCTAAGTCTTTACTTTTACGTATCTGTAACACCCTGTTCTATGTGTACTACTGTTACGTGGCTGATAGAAGTTGGTAATTGCTAGAACCACTACAACTTACGTCACTCTGCTCAGTACCTTGTTGTTATCTATGGCATTGTGGTGCTGGGGTGTCTATGGATTACCAACCTCCCTGGGCAGCAGCCAGAAATGCCCTGTACCAGTCCTAAAGGAAATATGGGTTGTGTTTCTGCCTTCCCCTTTGACACGTAGCTAAGGTGGGGCTCACAGTGTGCTCATTCCCCACCACCAGATTGCCGGCTGGTTTCGCTGAGATATTCGTGGCCCTAAGCATGGCCTAAGCATAAGTAGTTAAGGCAACTGTATCGTCACATCCCCAGTCCCTATGCCTTCACTATAGTTTCAGGTATTCGGGGGGGGGGGGGGGGGGGGGGGGGGGGGGGGGGGGGGGGGTTGGCATACTTTTTCCACTCCTAAGACTCTTCAGCACACCTCCAGCTTTTTCCCTCCTACATGGGGCAGTACGTGTGTGGTGCACCAAGTTTATTATGAAGGTTTGCTCCTCTAGATTCATTGTTTTATTCCTGGGTATTCGCACCCCTAGTTACCAGGACTACCTTGGGGATGCTGTGACTTCGCCAGCACAGTGGTCTTTGGGTAAGAGAGGTTATGCTAGGTCAAGAGGCTGACACCACAATGGATGCTCCTTTCATGAACAGATATTCACTAGACCTAGGGTGAAGTAAAGGAAGGGGGAGGTGGGGTGGGAGGACCACAACACCAACACTTCATACCCCCTGCCTCTCGAGGCTCAGTCCCACTCAGTACCTTGACAATTGTGAATACTGAGTGATGGCCAGACTATTGTCAGCATGTTAAGTTTTTTTTTGGACCATTCTCTTGTGTAATTGCTTGATGTAATTAATAAAGTATGCACTGTTATTATTGTAGGGCGAGCCTGGACAGAATGCACTAAAAGGACCATTTGATGATCCTGAAAAAGCAGTAAAAGATTTTGTTAAGAAATTTAAAGACAAGACTAAGAATGACTGGAGCGACCGAGAGAATTTCACCCCAGTGAAAGGAAAATACACACTGCTTGAGATGGCAGGAGAAGATGATGCAGGGCAGGATACTGTTGATACAGCCATTCAGGTAAACTGATTTATTTTTTCCATCTTTCTTTAAATATTCAGACCTCATAGTCATAATTATATGATGGTAACATATGTGTCATAAAAAAGGATAGTAACACATTTGTCATAAGATTTAATAATAACACATTTACATTTTTATCTTTATGCTGATGTATCTTGAATGTGTGGAATCTGTGGTAATGACATGTGGAAAATGTCCACCTGACACATTGTTGCACATGTGTGTGGTCCTTATTGAGGTTTGTCATAAAATATGATAATAACACATTTACTTTTTTATCTCTTTATGCTGATGTATCTTGAATGTGTGGAATCTGTGGTAATGACATGTGGAAAATGTCCACCTGACACATTGTTGCACATGTGTGTGGTCCTTATTGAGGTTTGTCATAAAATATGATAATAACACATTTACTTTTTTTATCTTTATGCTGATGTATCTTGAATGTGTGGAATCTGTGGTAATGACATGTGGAAAATGTCCACCTGACACATTGTTGCACATGTGTGTGGTCCTTATTGAGGTTTGTCATAAAATATGATAATAACACATTTACTTTTTTTTATCTTTATGCTGATGTATCTTGAATGTGTGGAATCTGTGGTAATGACATGTGGAAAATGTCCACCTGACACATTGTTGCACATGTGTGTGGTCCTTATTGAGGTTTGTCATAAAATATGATAATAACACATTTACTTTTTTTATCTTTATGCTGATGTATCTTGAATGTGTGGAATCTGTGGTAATGACATGTGGAAAATGTCCACCTGACACATTGTTGCACATGTGTGTGGTCCTTATTGAGGTTTGTCATAAAATATGGTAATAACACATTTACTTTTTTATCTATATGCTGATGTACTCCTTTTATAAAATACGAAGAGCCTGTTGTAAGGACTCAGTGTCCACCTCACACATTGTCATACATGTGTCTGATCTTTAGGCCTAAAGGTTAAAAACGAGAGGATCGACTTTATTGGATTAGGTTTTTTCCCATATGGCTCGGTCTCTCTCTACAGAATGGCTAGCCACCTGCAGATATAGATAATCGGCTATCCTCTGAATAACGGGCACAAAAGATGGCGGCCAAAAACAGGGCCTTAGTCACGTGTCAATTGCGAACTTGCAGCGACTTAATTTGCGGTTTTTCGGCGACTACTGCCACCACCGAGAGTAGCCCCCACGCCACTCACGACGAAGATTGAGTATAAACATGAGTAGAATTATCTGATTTCTGATTTCTTGACCATACGTGACATTTCAGTGGTCCATAATACCCCAGATTTTCCGAGTATGGTTTGTTGCAATTTTGTGGCTGTTCTTTTATGTTGAAAATATGACTAAAAGGCACCCAGTTTGAGAGAAAATATTAAATAATGCAGACACAAACAAGTGTCCACATTATTTAAATTACAACAGGAAGGTATTGTTTGGAAGATATTAACGCCATACTATTCCATTTAAATTGGGGCCTTATTGAAATATTTACAAAAATGGTAGGATTGCTGGGAGAATGTTTCTTCTGATCTAATAAAAGTACTTTTACAGGGAATAAATTTATAGACCTCCAGATGAGTATTTGTACTTTTGAAGTCTCAGAACAAAAACTTTTTACAGACTTTGTATTTCAAAGATTGTCTTTAACATTAACTGCTGTTCCTTGTTTCTGCTTTAGATCAATCACAATAAGAAAGAGGCTCCTTGCACACTGGACAAAACCACTCAGGACTTAATGAAACTTATCTTTGATAATGACATGTTTAAAGCAACTCTTCAACAATTTGACATTGATGTTAAAAAGATGCCTCTAGGAAAACTCGGCAAGGCACAGATTGCAAAAGGTAAAGGCTGGCCAGGGAAAGTTTTATTGTTTAATTGCCTTTTTAAGGTGCCTTATGAAATTTAAGGAATTAATGTAATTCATTTCTTACACCCCCCCCCCCCCCCCATTCCCCAAGCATTGTTTCCCGGAAGATTAACACCTTTTGAGTCAAGGAGCCACTATTTGGATTGGAATCCAATAGAAGCAAATCCCAGAAACCCTGTTTCTGCCACATGATAGTTATATTAAGGCACCTGACGATTAAAAAAGTGATTTCTGTTCCAGGTTGGGTAGATTGATTTGTACAATGCTTCTAATGTAATGGTCAATCTTGAGGATGCTTATAATAGAGTCAAATATGATATTTTAATTTCTCCACTCTTGGAGAAGTGGGTTTGTCTGTGGTGTGTGAACTGGATAACAGCTGTCCTGCATTCACGTATGGCTGCCCTTCGCCTGGGTACATGGACCTCAGAACAATGTAATATAGCCCCAGGACTACCCCAGGGTTCTGCATTTTCGCCAGTGCTCTTTAATGTGTATACAAGCAAGATTGCAGAACTTGAATCACCAGGTGTTGAAAGAATATTGACATTTTTTGACGATGTTCTTGCATATAGGCAGGGGAGATAGGCGAACGATAGCCCATGAGCTACAGGCATCTGTAGACAAAGTGACTGACTGGTGTGCAGAAATGGATGTTGTCATCAACTCAGGAAAGGCAGCTGTTTTGTGGTGCTTTCTAGACAATAGAATTGTAAAAGCTAATGTTCCTAACTTCAGTAACATCAAAAGAAAAAGCAAACTGAGGTACCTGAGTATAATTTTCAATAGAAACCTGCCCTTCAGGTAGCATGCGGAGGCAGTTGCAGTGAAATGCTAAAATGGACTCAATGCTCTCAAGATTATGGCAGCAATGGACATGGAACAAAGAATGTTGTTCACAATGTTCCAGCATGTGATCTTGTCGGTGATAGATTATAGACTTGGCATGCTTACCATATCAAAGAGTCAGCTGATTAAACTTGAACGCATACAGAATGAAGCCATGTGGATAATTCTGGAATGTACGAGGGATACCCCGGTAGTATGTATGCGATATACACTTGCACTGTTTACTATTGCAGATAGGCTCAAAGTTCTGCAAGCAAAGTCATATCTCAGAGTAACTGTGGACAAGAGGCACCTCTTGCATGAAGCCCTGGATAGAGCTATGGGTCACAGACTGAAAAGAGGAAAGTCTTGGATCGCACAAGCTGAAGACATAAGTGGACATGTGTGCAAGCTTGATAAATTTAGGTGAGGAGAGGAGTGGGTCAAAGTGTATGATCAGGTTTCAGACTTGTGTAGGGTTCCAATCACTTTGGGACGTGAGTGCAGGGACTGGGCAGTTGGTGCTGCAGAATCAGAAGTTCAACAAATGATTCATAAAAATTCCCGTCCAGGTGATGTGATTGTCTATACAGATGGCTCTGTGTTGAGGGGTAGACAAAGTGCACGGGGGTTCATAGCGAAGGCAAATTGACGTCGATTGTTGCAATAAAGCCTGGCATATGATATCACAACATCTAGTTTGAGAATGGAGGTGGAGGCAGTCACTGCTGCCTTCCGCTGGCTTGAGAATCAGCTGTACACACATGCTGTCATTGTAACTGACTCACAGAGCATGTTAAGAAAAGTGAAAACATGTATGCTCCTTGTAGAGTGGCAAGCATCACTTCAAAGGTCCCGGGTAGTTAACATCCTTTGGATATTTTCTCCAGGTTATGCCGGTGTGTTTGGAAATGAGCAGGCAGATAGACTGACCGGTTCTGCACCACTTGGTGGTGAACTGATGTATGACAAGCTGGATGTTGTGAGGACCCTTTAGGAATGAGTGAACAGTGCTGAGGCACAGATAGATCATAACAGTCTGAGGAGAATGGCATTGTGAGAAGTTCGGGGGATCTGGCCGAGGCTTGACACTCAGGGGAAAGGCAAGAGGGATATACAATCAGACATTTACTGGTACCATCTGAATTTTAACTCTTTGATTGCTGCTGAAGATAGGGACGGAGCGCTTATGGGGGTGTCCGGAGTGCTATGATGTCAATTCTTAATTCAACATTTTTTTATGTAATGGTCAGTTGATTGTTCATTATTACCCTCCAGGATTGCTGGCTGAATGATCAACACCTAATGGATGAGCACCAAACAGACATAAATCCTAGAAATCGTCTTTTCAAGAATGGTTAGAACCTGCTTGTGTGGGGTTCTCAAAACATAATTCTATTTCACTTACTTGTAAAACAGGTTTTGAAGCTTTGGAAGAGTTGGAAGAAGCAGTCAAAAACAACAAGAAGTCTGCAATCAATGAGCTTTCCTCTAAATTCTACACGGTGATACCTCACAGTTTTGGAAGAAGCGTGCCTCCGCCCATTGACACCCTGGAGGAACTTCAAAGAAAATATGATATGTTGGCAGTAAGTTTATTGTACATTACAAATGCCTTATCACATTGTGTGTGACAGTCCAGTAACACATAATATTCTTGTCTGTCTGTCTGTCTGCCTGCCTGCCTGCCTGCCTGCCTGCCTGCCTGCCTGCCTGCCTGCCTGCCTGCCTGTCTGTCTGTCTATCTGTCTGTCTGTCTGTCTGTCTGTCTGTCTGTCTGTCTGTCTGTCTGTCTGTCTGTCTGTCTGTCTGTCTGTCTGTCTGTCTGTCTGTCTGTCTGTCTGTCTGTCTGTCTGTCTGTCTGTCTGTCTGTCTGTCTGTCTGTCTGTCTGTCTGTCTGTCTGTCTGTCTGTCTGTCTGTCTGTCTCTTTCTCACTCCCTTATCTCTCTGCCTACCTCTTATCTTGCCTCTCCCTCCCTCCTCATGTTTCCTTTCAAAGTTAGTCTACATTTTAGATTGTGAAAAAAAGAATTGGTGTATTTATATAATTCATCCTGTCAGCTGATAATTAGTTTAAAAAAATATCAACTAAATCTTGTTACTTGTAAAATTGAGGCTTTTAATATATTAAGGAATATGAGAATATTGATTACTATCACATAAATCAATTTTCAAAGTCAGATCTTTATTGTATAGAAAAACTTTGATGTCTTATTGGATCTGATTCTATAGAAAGCTTTCTAATTGCAATAGAAGAATATGTTAATACTGCTTGATCTGTTTGGTTTATTTATTATTATGTCTTCAGTTCATCACAGAAGTCTTAGGTTAGCCATGCTATATTTTTGTTTACATTATACACAATTGCCCATTCTTACTCTGACTGACTCAACAAATCTTTCAAGATGCCACTGTGTGATAAATAACTCTGAAGGCACAATGCCTACACTCACATTTCTGGGGTCTACAGTAGAAACACTGAGAATCTGTCTTTTTTTCTTCTCTTAATTAGTTTTGGTTCACTTGCAAAATACTCACTCTTTGTGTTAGTAACTAATTTGGAATATGCTCTGCTATTTTAACCTTAACAACATAACCTCTTGACCTTTCACCTATCTTATCTTTCTGGATCGCTTCCTGTATATTATCTTTCCATACTTATTAGTCAGCAAGGGAGGGCATCAGAAAACCTTTGCTTTCAAGTGTTAAAGGATATTCCAACAAGGAATTGTCTAAAAAACTACAATTTTTTTTATGTGCAGTCTTTTATGTAGCTGTATCATTGTCATTTATCCTAGGAAAAGGAAATGCTACCTGAAAACTTTATCTTATGGCGGAGCTGATCATGCCCTAAGCCAGAGCTGGAAGCTGGTCTAGCAGGGAAGCTCCTACAGACAGACAGAGCACTGCTCTTCTGATTCAGCAGCTTCAGCAACCTGCTTTGTTACAGACATACTGGTGCAATGTTTAGAGTAAACAAGGCAGGCGGAGAAAGGATCATAATACCTGGGCAACATATAGACTCTACAATACTGTCCAGGCTTATTGGTATGGAGAGGAGGAACTTCAGTTTCATGCCTTCTCATAGCACAATATAAATATGGAGAGATGCAAAGGTGCTAACAACATTGTCAATGTTTTATGCTGATGAAAGTTTTCTAGCTGCAATATTTATTTCATAATTTGCATTGTGTTGTATCGGGACACTGACAAGTTCTGCTTCTTGTTTGGATTGACTTGTTTATGGTATTCTTTTGTATCTAATTATGTCATGTTTGTTTGTGAATGCTGATGCAGATGTCATTTGTATGTGAATTGTTTCATTTATAACAGATGCAGAGAAGTTTAGTAATTTGCTTGTATTTCCTATTGCCAGGTACTTGGAGATATTGCGCTGGCACAGGATATCCAGAAAGACAGAGACAAAGCTACAGCAGACAGTGTAAGTTTTAAGTCAGAACAAAGCAAACTGGCATGTATGATTGGAAACTGGCAAGACAAATTAATCTCTTTCCAGATTTTTCAGAAGTAATTTTTTTCACGATTGTGTACTTTTGTGTGTACATTTTCTAGCAACGTATACATACATTAATTTGTCATGTCGCAAACATTATTGGTAGAAAGAAATACACGAAATGAATATCCATATTGCCTGATAGGAGTATTACTACCAACAATTTTTAATAACAATAAAGCTGTTAGCGAAAGATTATCATCATCATCAACATCAGGTGCCTTGCCGACTGGCATGGGTGATCATGCCTCTCCACAATCTGCGATCTCCTGCAGCATGTAAGCAGAAGATTATAGGTGGGCATAAATATGGATTTCTTCATGAAATTATAAATCTTGAGAAATTACACAACTACATTTAGAAAGTCCTTTAGACACTAAGCATCAAATGAAACATTGAATTCAATAAAGAATGGTAAACAAGAAACATCTAAGTCATTTAGAAAAAAAATAAAGATACTGCGTGAAAGGCTTTGCACTGTGAATGAATGAGAGAAAAGGATGACATTTTGATATAATGTGAATTCAGTTTCATAGTTTTCAAAGACATTAAGACTGAAGACAGATTTGGAGAGACAAATACAGCTGGTGGTAGGGTGTATCAGGTCAGATTGCAGGAATTGTAAACTTCAAATTTTTTCTACTTATAGATTTTAGTTTTTTTTCCGGAACTTGACTTTTTCCTGCATGTCTGTTTTGCAGATCTGGCTTATTTCAAACTATTGGTTCCTCGCCTTTAAGGCAAATGCACTCTCTTTGATGGAAACACCACTAGTTAGTTGCCTTTTATAACATTCTTGATTAGAAAAAAAAGTTTTCCTCCTAAAAGGGATCCTGGGACCCACACAGGAAAATTCCAAACTAAGCATGAGGAATATATAGCTCCCCTATAAGGAATAGTATAGTTTCTTCTAAAACTTATGTCGACCTCCGCGGACATGGATACAGGACATTGAAGATGCACTAGCATTGGAAGTACATGAGGCTAGAGAGCTGGCTAGGGAGAGGGATTCTTTCAGGCATGCCGTCAAGAGAGCGATGTTCTGTAAAGGACATGCTGATTGATGAAAACTTATCAGATGCATCAGAACATTTTGGACCCAAAACAACATGGAAGCAGACAAGTTCTCTTATTCTTATTTGTTTGTTATGATTTGGATCTATATGTGTAATGATTAGAGGCTGACTGACTGATGTTTAACTCCACCAGGACATCACACCGGGCGACAAACAACCAGTGGCATAAAGTGCCACCATGTGAATGAGTATCACCCGGGGACAGGGTCCAAGAAACCCCACAGGTTGGGTTATATTAGGGCTTTCAGCCACATCTAAAGTGGGTCTTTAAAACAACGAAAAATTATGTCCAGACATCAGGACCCCATTTATATATTAGCATTTTAGAGGCTGGGGTTGAGAAGAAGAAACTTCTTGAAACATGGCTGGATTAACTTGCTTTGTTGTGACGGCATAAATGAACATAATCTTTACAAGGTAATGTGACAGACAGAGAGTTTTCATAAACGATCCAGAAATTCATTAATCACTTTACTTCATCTCCTTTATTTATTTTTGTTTTCAAAGAAAAAGGATACAGTACCTAATTCCCTGGATATCAATTATGGGCTTCTAAACTGCAAAATGAAGCTGCTTGACAACACATCCAAAGAATACAAAGTCAGTTGTGATATTTGTTGTGTGTGTTATTGGTAAACGTATATTGAAAAAAATATAAAGCTAATGTTCATTACTCGTGTCATGAAAGAAGCCAAACATTAAAAAAACTTTTCTCTGAATCATCACTGTTTTTTTAAAAAAACTATGATTTCCTGTTGTGATTTGTATTTTTTGTGTCACATTATTAATATTTCTTTTTCTTCTTCTTAGCATCCACTGGCACAAAGTCCTAGTTTTTCATCCACTTCTGGACTTTGGCCTTGTTCCAGGACTTGAGTTTTGCATGCACATCCATTGTACTGATTTTTTTTTTTAAATATGATGACTGTTGGTTCCTCGCCTCTCAGGCAAATGGACTCTGACTTCAAAAGAAAACACCCCTAATTAGATTAATTTTATGACATGCTTCTTAGGGTGGAAGTATGTCTGTTCCCTCTTCCCCATTTCCTATGGGGTCCAGAACTCACAGGAAAATAATATTTCAGTAATATATGATCCTTGGTAAGGCACTGGATTTTCTTCTATTAGGGGAGGCATACAGTTCTAACCTGCACAGTCCATGGTGAGTACCCTAGCCATGGGGCCTCAACTCTTTCAGGCCCATGAATTTTGACAGACTTGGCCCACATTAATTTCCCTTTACAAAAATGGCAGAGGGGTGGGTGTACAAGAAAGGCTATAGAGAATGTAATATACTTCTAATCCCTATAAAAGTATATATTTTTAAAAATAGAAATGAATGTACATTTTGAATCTGATGATAAGTTTTGTTTAATTTTGTTATAGTTAGGAAAGAAGAATTTAGCAGGCATTGATTTCACAAGGACAACATTTTACAAAAAAATTCTTCACTTTTGCAGCCACAAGAATAGTAAATATCCAAATTTGAGAACAAAACTTCAAAGTTTGTTCAATTTCCTAATATATTTCAAAGTTATGATAACTTTATGGGTTAGCTTAGAACTCAGGGGCTCTTAGTTCTCTCAGAGTGCTGAGCACAATTTCAGAGAAAAAATTGCAGAAAATGAGCCATTACACACACACTATTTACTATTTACTTTGTACAGTTATTTACAGACTAGCTGTAATGATTTCAATTTAGCTTAGCCATAGTATAGTACAATCTGTTTGTTTAGAGCACTTTCCTTCTCTTACACCATAAATATGATAGTATGGGACATTGTCTGTGTAATAAACTCATCAGAATCGCTAGATTCCAAACAGCTGATCGCTCAGCTTCGCTGGTGAAAATTCACTGTCCGATATCACTTTCCAAAAAATCTAAATTTTTATTATCATTATCACAATTAAAAACATCTAACTGAAACAATTTCAGAGCTTCGGCCGCAGAAAGATGCATTCTGCGACCTGTACTTGTGGTTGGAACATTGGTATTCATGGCACTCAAAAACGAACTTAAAAAATTCACTGTTGATAACTATTTTGCTGTTATTTCTATCAAATTTTGCACGTGTAGTTTAGGCTAGAAAATGAAACTAAAAGGATTTCGGCAGAGTGACCTTCCCTGAATAGTTTAATCATACATTATAACATTAGAAACTAGTTAGGGGGCGTGTGCGAAGCAAAATATAGGGGACACACGATCGACGATGACACCATTGTTTGGGCAAAATGGAACTTCTCAAACAACGCTCACACTGTTGCTTGGGCCTTAAAGAATTAAATTCTCAGGTTCAGACCCACCCTAAAAAGTTATAAATATGGATAGTAAAGGCAGCTTTTCTTTAACATTGTAACATTTATTTGATTTCTATAATTTTGTTGTTAATTTTTTTATGCTTTGTTTCTTCAAGTTGCTTTATTGAGTTCACTGATCTTTTGCAAAGATAGGTTGCTATACATTAATCTATTTACTTTCTTATTTCTTCTTCTTCTAAGTCTTCACTGGCTGTAAAGTACAGTGGTGAGTTCTGGTAGTTTGTCCACTTCCGGACTTTGCTTGGGTTCTGAATCTTGTTTTGTGTGCATATCCATTATACAGATCTGGCTATTTTTATGCAGACTGTTGGTTCCTTGCCTCTCAGGCAAATTCACTCTGGCTTCAAAGGAAACACCCGTAATTAGTCACCTTGTATGGCATGATTGTTAGCAAACAGTGAGTCTGTTCTTTTCTTCTCTCCCAGAATGGTGCCCTAGAACCCACATGTTGGCTTTCTTGTTTTCATTTCATGAGTTCACCATGCAATTGTTCTTCACAGAATGTATAAGTCAATTTTTTCATTTGGTCACATTTTATACAAGGTTCTGGAAAAATACTTCCTGGCCACAGAAGGACATTCTTACAGAAAGCAGACACTTAGGAATATTTGGGAAATTGACCGCTCAGAGGAGGTAGGCAGCTATGGATGTTCGTCATTACTAAATCAGATCGAGCAGGCAGTCATAACTCTAACAGCTCTATAATTACAAAAACATATTTATATGGACTCCACTCAGCATGCGACAACTATGTTATGAAGATCAACATAGGCAAAACAGAAGTGATGACATTTACCAGAAAAGAAAGTACCACGAACATTAAAATTGATAAACATCAGTTATAGCAGGGGGAGGACTTTACATATCTCGGGTGTATTTTTTCCTTCACAGTTAGAAGAATGAATAAAGAAATACAACAAAGGTGGTGAAATAAAGCCAGTCAAGTTATAGATGGCACTATTATTGAAATGCAAGCACGTGAATATGAACACTGAAGACCACTGTGAAACACAGTATTCTTACCTAGGCCAAGCTATCAGTGTTAAACAGGGACACTGTCATCAGACGACAGAAAAAAAATAGTTATGACAGAAATGAAATTCTAAGTGTGCCTTTTACTTGTGGAAATATGGTATATTAATGAGGAAGGAAGATTTCAGGCTCTACATATGGCCTCTCTGTGGTTTAAAAATATAGTTATCTAAGGATACATTGTTTGAAAGCTGAAATATTTTGGTCATATTAAACGCCACGAAGGATTGGAAAAAATTATAGCAGAAGGCATGGTACCAGGAAGGAGGGGCAGGGGCCGACCGAAATGTTGATGGGCACAGGATATAAGTGACTCCATGAGTGTGAAAGTGCATGAGGCGGGAGAACTGGCGAGAGATCGAGTTTCTTTCAGGCAGACTGTGATGAGAGTGATGCTCTGCAAAGGACCTGCTGCATGATGATGATGATGGCATTGTTTGAAGTCTCATCATCATCATGTAGCAGTTCCTTTGCAGAACGTCGCTTTCATCACAGTCTGCCTGAAAGAAACACAGTTTCTCACCAGCTCTCCCACCTCATGCACTTTCATATTCAAGAAGTCACTTATATCCTGCACCCATCTTGATGTCGGTTGGCCCCTGCCCCTCCTACCTGATACCATACGTTTTGCTATTATTTTGTTAGTATGTCATGGCGTTTGATATGACCAAAATATTTCAGCTTCAAGGCAAGTTGCTATGTATAAGCCAATCTTCCTTGACGTTCACATCTTTTAGAACATCAGTGTTTCTTTTCTTCTTTGTTCATGGTATTGTGAGGCTCTTTCTATAGCATTTCAGCTCAAAAACCACTATTTTCTTCCTTAAAAACAGGTAGATTGTCCATGGCCCACATCCATAAGTTGTTACAAGAAAGATGCATGTTATCAACATTTTAACTTTGATTTCCTTGTTGGTTCTTAACCGTAGACTTCTAATGCTGTTTAAGCTTTGTATATTAGTACCATAAGACTTAAGGTTTTCATCACAACTACCCTTATTTTCTCTGTCAATCACTCTCTTCCTTAGTTACTTTTTGTGATCTGCCTGGCCTATGGGCCTCACCATCAGATCTTTGAGTTTCGTTTTCAGCTTCCATGATAAGTTTCTTCAAATAAAAATGTGGTAGTTTTCCCTTGCTTTCCACATCCACATAGCATTAGACTATATCCTCACCTCTAAGATTGCCAGGGCAAGGAAGTGCCCTGCTCTGTGATACTCCTGCTAACAGCCGAGGGCACCCCAGAGGTGTCCATTTATCCTGGTAGATACTCTGTTTCCATAGCTGCATTAGCCACACTACAGTGTGTCTACCATCCTCTACTTCTTGGAGGGGCAGCTGGGTTTTTTCCTTCGAGACCAGAATGGCATTTCCCAAAACTCTTCAGTACTTTTTTTATGATTACATAAAGGTTATTTTCCAAATCATATACTTTCATCTGAAAAATATCATATTTTGCATGGTAAAATCTTGCGTCTGTATTTTTTTTAGAAGGCTGCAAACAGATGAAATTGGGACTTTAAACTCTTCCATTTCTAGTCAGGAAAATGTGATTGACTCTTTGCCATGTGTCTGCATCATGCCTTGTACTTTCTACGGGTTACTTACAAGGGAATTTAATTTTTATAATTTTTAACATACAACTTACATACAATCATTTTATAATCAAAGAGTACAGAGTAAAGAGAATTCTAGACGTTTTCTGTTTCTCTATAACTGTACGTAACTCCCTTCAAAGAAACAACTGTTTCCATAATTGTGAATTATATCTTGTCCTCAGGTTAGCAGATTTTCTGTCAACAAATCAATAGACCATAGGAAATTATTGTGGCATGGCACAAGTGTAGCCGTGGTTGCTGCCATTCTCAAAAGTGGCCTACGTATCATGCCTCACTCTGGCGGTCGAGTAGGTCGCGGCATCTATTTCGCCTCAGAGAATAATAAATCAGCTGGTTATGGTGAGTCTGAGAATTTCACATAACATAATTCTAGTTAGAAATTATAACATTTGAATTATCATATGTACCACTTCTGACACTGAATTCATAGAAAAATAAATAAGGTTAAGAGCTTAGGACTTCTTGTGAGAGGAGCCACTGTGGTGTAGCAGCTAGATGCTACCTGCATATCTGACAGTTGTGGGTTCAAATCCATATGGAGCCATATTTTTTCATACATTTTTCAACCAGGCTTAAATGGGTAAGAGGTTGGGTCCTGGGAAGTAAAAATGGCCATCGTAATGTTGACCACATCACCCATCAAAGGCCGATTGGTAAAAAAGATATGATTCTAGCCTCATACGCCCAGTGCGCTGCTGGCGTGAAAAGGGACCCTTACTTTGCTTTCACATTTTGTGAGAATGAAGTCTAGTCAGTTTCCCTCTTTGTGTTTACAGCAACAGAGGCTCTAGCTCAGCGGGTCTCAACCTGTGGGTGGCGACACTTTTTGGGGTCAAATGACTCTTTCACAAGGGTTGTCTAAGACGATTGGAAAACACATATTTATTGTTGAAGTTATGAAATAGCAACGAAAATAATTATATGGTTGGGGGAAGTTACAGCATGAGGAACTGTATTAAAGGGTTGCAGCATTAGGAAGGTTGAGAACCACTGCTCTAGCTGGAGAGCTAGAAAAAGACTAAAAGTCAGTCTAACAGATAATCAAGAGTATGCTACACTTCTTCTTCTTCTTGAAGTCTATGCCGTGTAGTTTTGGTAATCATGTCTTTCCACAACCATCTGTCTCATGTATTTTTAATAAACTCTGACACAGATCCCATGCCATGATACCAAACTGTCCAGCATCTTTTCTCTTGGTCTCCCTCTGCCTCTCCTCCCCTCCAACTTTCCTACTGTCACGATGTACTCCAGTTTTCTCCTTTTCATCGTAACCAAGGAATTTAGATTGTCGTCTTTTTCTGATGCGGACAGTCAGTTCTCTTTGTGAGTTTCTTTGAAGACATCTTCATTACTCTTTTTATCATAATTCGTCTATAAAACCACATCTCTGCAGCTTCCAAACAATTTTTCACTAATCTACAACTGTCCATGATTCACTTCCATATATCAAGGTAGGATTTATATTGGTCTACACTAGCTCAACACAGTCTACATGACAACAACATGGGAGTGGTTGACTTTGCTTTCTTCTATGTGGTTAGTTTCTTTGGTTGTCTTCTTCTTCTTAGCATTCAAGGGCAGTAAACTCCTGTAGAAAGCTCTAGTAGTTCTTCCACTACTGGACTTCAGTCTTCTTCCAGAACAAAAATGTATGCGTGTACATCCATCTTACAGATCTGACTTATTTGTATGCAGACTGTTGGTTTCTTGCCTCTCAGGCAGGTACATGCTCAATTTGGAGGAAGAAAAGGCCTTTTGTGACATGCTTGTTAGGTAGGCAGTGAGTGTAGTCTAATCCCCACCCCCTTTCCCACCCCAAACGGGGCCCCAGAACCCACACCAGGACTTTATTATTTTTCCCCTTACAGTGGTGTCCCCGAACCCAGTGGGGAATGTGTGATACATGACACTTAATATCTATTACTTCTCTTGCTGAAGCCTACCTCACCTTCACTCTGCCTCAGAAGAGAGCCTGAAGTTAGCAATATAGGGCCGGAATATGGATGAAAAACCACATAATTACATAACTGGCTATCATGAATGAATCAAACAATAAATTTTTAGCTTGTAGGTGTACATCAAGAATGCATTCACAAAAAAATGACAACTTATTGTCTGGCTTTGTACAAAAAACTGCACAGAACATAAAGATTAGTCCCTCATTGTTACATGGAAATTGAAATGAATATGCCATTTGCGCCACCATCTTTAAAAAAAAAAAAAAAACAACAACAGAAAAGCTAGCTATGAAATAATATTTGTATTAGATAAATACTTCTATACACCCACTGACAAATTATATATAATCGCTCTTCATTTTCAGTTGGCCCAGCCCAGGGTAAGGGCATCATGTTCCTGAATGAAGTAGCATTAGGAAAGCAATATAAAATCATACGAGATGATCCATCCCTGGTAGTGGCTCCTAAAGGATATGACAGTGTTCTGGCATGTGGACGAGTAGAGCCTGGTAGGTATTTGAGTAGGCAAATAACTCTCAAATTACCATCATGATTTGTGTGACTTGTTTGTACTGCTGTCATTGTTTGTGATGGTGAACTGTGCTATATTGCTGTCATTGTTTGCGATGGTGAACTGTGCTATATTGCTGTCATTGTTTGTGATGGTGAACTGTGCTATATTGCTGTCATTGTTTGTGATGGTGAACTGTGCTATATTGCTGTCAGTATTTGTGATGGTGAACTGTGCTATATTGCTGTAAATGTTTGATGTGGTGAACTGTGCAGTAGTGTTTTAAATGTCTGGGATCGTAAGTTGTGCTACATTGTAAATGTTTGGGATGGTGAACTATTCTATAGTGCTGTAAATGTTTGGGGTAGTGAACTGTGCTATATTGTTGTAAATGTTTGGGATGGTGAACTATGCTATAGTGCTGTAAATGTTTGGGGTAGTGAACTGTGCTATATTGCTGTAAATGTTTGGGATGGTGAACTATGCTATAGTGCTGTAAATGTTTGGGGTAGTGAACTGTGTTAAATTTCCATAAATGTTTGGGTTGGTTAATTTGCTAAAGTGCTGTAACTGTTTGGGATAATGAACTGTGCTATATTGCTGTAAATGTTTGGGATGGTGACCAAACTTTTGGACCTTGGTTTAAACCCTTCGTAAGGCAATGGATTTGTTTTTTTCTGTTGGAGGCAAAAATAACATCCTAACCTGCACAGTCTGTGACAACAGCACTAGCCATGCCACCTCATATCACCTCAGGCTAAAAAGAAAACCTGCCTACACAGCAGAAGTGGTAAATACAAGCAATAACAAAATAGTGAACTGTTCTGTATTGCTTTCAGTGCAGCGTTGATGTTGTCAGTTCTGTCCATGCTTTTTCCCATTTGCATTGGTGCATTACTTGTCAGCTGGTCAGCTCTTTATCCGCTCTTTCGTTACTATTTACTCCTGCATATCGAGATGTGTAGATCCAGATGATGGAGGTTAACAGTAACTTCCTTATGCTTTCTACCCATTCAGAGCATAGACTACCTGTAGTGATTTTCTGAAGCATGTTCATAGTCTGAAACAATTACTGCATTTGTAGCCGCTTGTTCTGCTACTCATGCAAGTGCCCTTGAAGCAGCGGTTATCTCCATGTTCATGCTTGACGTAGTAGTCTGGTAAGGGCCGCTATCCTCTTCTATTGTTTTCCCCATTCATTATGCTGTGTATGCCCATGCTGATCTTGACCCGCGCTTCAAGGACCCATCTTTGTAAATGACGACCTCTTCTGGGTGTAAATGCTGATCAATCAGTGCCCTAATTTCTGCATCTACGGTGGCAGGTATCTGACTCCTGCAGTACCTCCCCACTGTTAAGACAACCTTGTTAAGTCATGCATGTCTACTGGTATATCTGTCCATTCTTTTCCATGACTGATCTCATTTAGGTCACACACTTGCTGGATAGATTTTCTGCCTCAGCCATCCATGAGGAGCCTCTTTTGAGATGCATCCTTTTTATATCATTGATAGCGTTGTGCAGTGTGTGAGTCTGCTAATATTGTCAAGTACGCTTTCACCTGTGCCACTTCATGTCTGATGACCATTGTCCGTAAACGCAGGACATACCACATAGCATGGCACAAAGTGTCTTTTGAGCACCCGAGCATGAGTCTCATGGCCTCATTTTGTACCCAGCCCAGTCAATCTAGCTGGGTTCTGCTGACAGTGAGGAGGCCCAGACCAGAGTCTATAACACTTAGTACAAGTCCATGACAGAGCAGGAAAGCGTTGTTGAGTGTGGGCGCTTGCCATCGCCTTCAGTGCCGTTAGATCTTTCCTAGCTCTGGTGGTTACTGCAGCCTTCTGCTTTCTTGAGAACCAGCTACACACACACACATTTTGTGATTGTAACTGACTCAAAGAGCATGTTGAGAAAGGTGGAAATAGGTATGCTGCATGTAAGGTGGCAGGTATCACTTCAAAGTTCTCAGGCAGTTAGTGTCCTTTGAATATTTTCTCCATGGTATGCAGGTGTTTCGAACGAACGAACAAACAAACTTTATTTTAAAAGGGTTACAAATTTGGCAGGCAGGCCCGTCTGACATTTGGCCCTTCTAAGCACTCATTTTTCAGAGTAGCAATGCCTGTTATTAATAATGCATGTTGTGGATGTAATAAAGAAATATACATTATGGAATAATGTATACACACATCATGTGTATACAATCTTACACACTCAAATGCACACACACATACACACGTATATATACTCTTACATTCTCATACATGCACACTCATATAAAAAAAAATAAGTAAAGATCCCTTTCCACGCCTTTCGGCGTATCGGGCATATGGGAAGAGCGTCCCATATTTTTACAGACCATCAGCACTCGGTGGGTAATGTGGTCGGCATTACGCCGGCTGTCTTTACTTTCCCAGGACAGCCCATCCTGGTACCCATTTAAGGCTGGGTCCACCTGCGATGCCCCATACTATGATAAAAATCCACCCACACTCATATGCAGACATATGTAATACATACATACACATCTACATACATACACAAACATAAAACACACACACATACATACATAGAAATACATGCAGAAACATAAAACACACACACATACATACATAGGCATACATGCATGCATGTATACACACACATAAAATCACATATACAGACACCCACAACCACACATGCATAAATACATGAACATGCATGCATACATACATACACACATCTATACATAAACACACATCTTTACACACATACATACATACATACATACATACTTGCAGACATACCTAAATACACACACATACAAACATATACTTACACAGCTACATATGCATACATACATCCACCAACATGCATACATACACCCACATACATTAAACCCACATGCATGCATACACACATATACAATAACACATACAGCTACCCACATGCATACCTGCATACATACAAACTTGCATACATTATATACACCCACAAGCACACATACACCCACATACTTACAACATACTAACATAAATACACACACTTACAAACCTAAATATACATACATATAACCACATACATACACCACACCCACAATCACACATACACACACACCCAGATAAATTAAATGGCAAATAGATTGATTGGTTCTGCATAACTTGGTGGTAAATTACTGCATGATCAGCTAGATGTTGTAAAGGCCCTTTTGGAGCAAGTAAAGAATATTGAGGCATAAATAGGTCATCACAGTCTGAAAAGAATGGTGCACCAAGTAGTGACTGAGGGATCTGGCCTATGCTCAGCACTCAAGTGAGGAGTGAGATGGATATATAGTCAGACTGTTACTGGTATCATTGGTATTAGAACCTGCACTTGCTGCTGTAGATCGGGACAGAGTGCTTTAGGGAATGTCCCAAGGACAATGATGTTGGTTCACAACTTAAAAAGAAACATGATATATCTCATTATTTTGTCCCCAGATGAGAAGAGTGACACTACATTGACATTTGATGGTAAGAAAGTGATTGTTCCTCAGGGAAAACCAAAGAAAGTGGCAGAATATGCAAAAAGCAGTTTCACACAGTCAGAATATCTAGTTTACAGAGAAGACCAGGTCCGCATGCGGTATCTACTGATGTTTGATATGTGATGTACTCATCACATATTTTTTTATATACCGTATATTACTTTTACAGGCGCTTCTTTGAATCGTTCCCCAAAATGGCGGCTGTAATATGATGGCGTTCAAAAAGGAGCTAAATTGGCCAATTTCTGGCCATAAAATATCCAAAAATATCCGAATGCGGGGTCAGTTCTATTAAAAATATGTATACGGCTCCGAATAACGAAACAAATGCTCTGACAGGGTCTGGGCGATACGTTGCTTGCCGACCTGCTTCTGCGAGTTTGCCTCACCGCCGAGCGTATCCCCCGCGCCGCTACGCGCGGCGCGGATGGGAGCTAAACTAGATGGCTGGGACTCACGAGTGGCAGCTACCGCATCTCCTGCAACTTCCTCCAATTACTGTACTCGTAAGTCCCAGGCACCTAGATACGCTCGGCGATGAGTTTAATCGCGTTTGGTGCATGCCGACAAGTCTGACATCTACCGCTGCTAAATCCTCCAATCGGAAGAACACAGTATTGCTAATCGGCTTTCATCGTCTGTAATGTCTCGAAATTGGTCAACGGTCGCTAATATCGTCTGCTAGTATCGTCGTCTGCAGAAACGCTCGAAATTGTTGTCAACGGTCGGTATTTATCGTCTGCTACTAGTACCGTGTGCAAATGTTGATATTGGTTGTCAAGTAATCCTAGTTTTGCCGCGATTTGTTCGTTGGTAGAAAGTCCGTATTTTAGATATACGCGAACACCGTCGTTTGGATATTTTTGGATATTTTATAGCCAGAATGTGGCATGCCGCCATTTTGGGGAATAAATCAAAGAAGCGCCTTTTTTACAGCTAGAAGTGTGTCCATAATTTCAGCTGTAGTCTCTTACATTATCTAGTGATTTTAAATGTCATACATAATACGACAGATGAATACATATAAAGTGTAATCAACACATGATATTTTTTTATTTCCATTGTTTAATACATACATACAGTAGATCCAAATTGACTGAGGGTGATTATTAAAAAAAGATTATTAAGATTTTAAGCTTGGTGTCACATTTCGATGTTCTGCTATCTAGAGCTTTTTCTTTCATTGGAGTTTTCATATTTCATCACGTAGCAGATTTACATATGAGTTGAAATATCACAGAAGCATCTGCAAATGTTTTTCATTTGTGCATGTGATCTTTTGCAGTGTTCATCAAACGGGTGGGGGGGGGGGGATTATATATATCTGGTGTGTCTTCTTCATCATAAAATTTTCAGCTAACTTCTGTAAATGATTTGTTATGTTGAATATCACTTGTACCTGTGTGATTCTCATCCTTGAGGAGTTAATCCTACAGACTGCGATCCTGGAAAAGAAAAACGACCTACCCTACCCCGCTACATGATAAGGCAGAAATTTTTGGCGGCCCACCTGGATTTTTCTTTGACCCACCAGTAGGCTGTTGACCATGGATTGAAAAACATTGATTTATTGTATGTTCACCTTCACTATTATTATTCACGTTCACTATTCTCACTTCTGTCATTGTCACTAGTAGTGCTATCAGAATCATATTTATTACACTGTCGTTACATGATTAGGCAGAAACTTTTGGCGGCCCACCTGGATTTTTCTGTAACCCACCAGTAGGCTGTTGACCATGGGTTGAAAAAACATTGATCTATTGTATGTTCATCTTCACTATTATCATTTACCTTCACTATTACATTCACCTTCACTATTATCACTTCTGTCATTGTTCACTAGTAGTGCTATCAGAATCATATTTATTACACTGCCGGTTTGAGTTACCCCACTGCCAATCTGCTGTTCAATTTTCATTATTGCTAAACAACAACTCGTAAATGTTTGGTTCATCGGGAGGTAGACCTGGGTAATTCATGTGAAGACACGTAGACACATACTTTGTTCAGGTTGTCGTGTATGCTTTTGTAATCGATGTAGTGGTTACAGTATTTTCAGTGAGAGTGAATACATGACTGCCTAAAACTTAACTTCCTATGTCTATGTTTGCCAAGAAATCATTTTTGGTATAAATGTTTATGAACATAATTTTAATGTTATCGCAATCAGTGTCACGGCACATTGGGCATTCCCATGTGTGCTTAGTCCTGTGATGCAGCAGCCACTCCAAGGTTCATCTACTGATTGTTCCAATGAGAGGTTGGTTATAATGTCACCTCTGTCTTGGCCCTTGAATGTGGTATAGATGTGCTTCATCAAGCTTTACTCCCAGGTTTCGCAATCATGTTAGTGTCAGATACTCATCATTATCCATTAGCCCAGTCCACTTAGTGTTGACAACATCTGCTCTGTCCATGCTTCTTTCAATGGTGATTCTGTTTAAATAAGTTTTAAATGTTTTTTATGCAATCTCTAACACGGATTTACCATGGTAAGTCATAACTTTCAGTCGGTGAAACTGGACATTTTCCTTTATTATGTCCAATCCAAAGCACAGGATATAAGTGACTCCTTGAGTATGAAAGTACATGAGGCGGGAGAGCTGGCGAGAGACTGAGTTTCTTTCAGGCAGATCATGATGAGAGCAAAGTTCTGCAAAGGACCTGCTACATGATGATGATGTCCAATCCAGTAGAACAAATTAAAGACAGTAAATAACAGAAGTTACACTGAAAAATTATTGATAATTTGGAACAAGACTATGTGATATAATGCTAAAATATTGTTCTATATTATTAATAACTGTTGTGAATCTGATAAAATTGTTGGATTTACTAATACGGAGTTGTGTACTGTACACATTAACATAATCATATATATGGCAAAGTTGGTATTTAGTTAGAGCATTGATTCATGTTACTTCAATTAAAATATATGAAAACAAACTCTGTGTCTGTGTGTATTTATATAGGCAGTTTGACCATTTTAACAGAATGATAAAACCAGCACTGATGTTTTCTTCTTCATATTGTCCATGCCATGTGGCATTAGCATTCATGTTATCCCTAACCTTCTGTCTCGTGGACTTTCAGTCACTTCTGACATACATGATCTTCCATGCCATGATGTCAAACTGTCCAGCATCTTCTCTCTTGTTCTTCCTCTGCCTCTTTCCCTCCAACTTTCCCACTGTCACACTGTACTCCAGTTTTCTCATTCTTCTGACATGACAAAAAGAATATAGATTGTCTCCTTTTGCTGGTTATGATGGACAAATTGTCGAGCAGATGTACCTCACTGAGATCTCTGCATCAGATTTATAACTGTTGAATGTGGATGAAGCTTCCCAGACAATTAACTGTGACTATAGAGGCACATGAACAACAACAATGAAAGATGCAAGCAAAGATGGTCTAGTCTGTTGAAGACCAAGAAAATGATAAAATCAATAAAATTAGACTAAAATAATAATACCAAATCTTTTTCTCAAATGTTCGTTGTATTCTAGACAAAGCACAACGGTCTGTGGTGTTTCTAAATTGTTGCTGTGTTTGTTATTCAACCTACATTTGGTTAACATAAATTTCTGCAACCAATAGTGCCATTTCAATGGTTTGAGGTACATTCTGTCTGTATTCCATAGTTGTTGATTTAAGGCTGTACGATAGACATGGCCAATAAAGACACCTTTTTTTAGGGGTGCATAGTTGGTGATGTATCTTAGTACGCGTTTCCCTAGTGAGGCTTACACGCCATTTGCAGGTGACAGGTTCTAATTCCGGCAAGGTAACTATAGCTTTCCATTTTTATGTTGTCTAGTGGGTTCTTCTAACTTTCTACTCCTTTCTATAAGTGTTGATCAATATATTGTATCTTTATTTGTTATATATATAATGTTTTTACAGCCTCAAGTCCCCCCCCCCCCCCCCCCCCCCCCCCCACCCCACCCCGTTTATGTATGCAGACTATAGTGTTTGTCCCATCCCCCACCCCAAAGGAGGTGCAGTTGGAATTTATTTCACCTACACGTGATATGGGAGTCGCCGTGGTCGAGTGGCTAGATGTTCGCCATGGATCGGAAGATCGTGGTTTCGCTCCCTGGTGGAGCCAGACTTTTTCCAAAATGACCTTGGCTCCCAGGTCGATCCAGCCTTGAGTGGGTACCAGGTGCAGTCTTGGGAAGTAAAGGCCACCAGCGTGATGCTGACCCTATCACCCATCTTTTGCCAATTGGTCTATAAAAATATAGGTCTAACCCTATATGCCCTATACGCCTGATGGCGTGGAAAAGGGTCCTTTACTTTACTTACTTACACGTGATATGGTCGACATCTGTGGTTTAGGTGTTGCATACGTGCTTTGTAACGCTAGAGTGCAGTGTTCAATCCCAGCTGTGGACAATTTGTCTTGCGTTGGTTTCGACAGTGGTACCAAGAGCTTACCGTTGAGAAAGCAATGGCAAACTACTGAATGTAAAATTTGCCTAGAAAAATCACAACAGCCACAATAAGCTGGGGTTGGTTCTGCAACCTCCTGTAAAGGATACACAAATAACTAACAAGTGATGTGACAATGTTTGGAAGCACATTCACTGGAAACTGCCAAAACTCCAGAAACCAGGACTATTCAACTGGTCCTCAGATCATGACAATTGTATTGTGTTGTTAATCTTTCTGCACTGGGGCTCAGGCCTCTGACCTGTAACGATCCCTATTATAAAGTATTATTTTACTGCAGTATCTACATACAAAGACGGCAAATTAAATGGTCTGCTAATTAGGAGAAAATGCCTTCTGAAGCTATACCATACGAGGCGTATACCAAAAGAGGAGAGGTAGACTAAGAACAAGAGGGAAAGATATCAGAGAAACTCTACAGCACCGTGATGTGTCTATGGTCAAAGCACCCAGAAGAGCACGAAGCAGGACCTTTTATCTCCCTCAACACCTGAAGCGGTAAAAGAGGAAGTGAAGAAGACGAAGAAGAAATAGATCTATGTTCTGAAGCAAATTAAAGAATTAAAATATCTAGGAAGTATATTTTCGGAGAACGAGAGAATACATCGGAAAATAGAAACAAGATGCCAATGGGTCAGTGCACTTATATACCAACTGACACG